AAAAAAAAAAAAAAAAGAATCATTATATGTAGAGCAAGTGAAAGCTGTTTGCACTTTTACAGACAAGTGTGAATCCAGGAAATACTCTGAATATACTTTAAGACCCAGAACAGTAGCAGGCACAGAGGAAAACGGAATGTGGCTAGTGTAAAACAAACACGTGTGCTCTTTGTGTGAATATGGGGAGTAATTTTTTTAATGTTTTATTTATTTCTGAGAGAGAGAGAGAGAGAGAAAGAGCAAGAGCGTGAGTGGGGAGGGGCAGAGAGAGAGGGACAGAGGATCCGAAGCAGGTTCTGGGCTGACTGCATCACACCCAAGGAGGGGCTCAAACCCCAAACTGTGAGCTCATGATCTGAGCCAAAGTCGGATACTGAACCAACTGAGGCACCTGAGACTAATTTTTACATTAAGGCAAACTGAGAGAGAAGACAGTGGAGTCATCTACTAAGAAAACCAAGAGAATGGGTTTACCGTTCTCTAGCTGCTGCTGACGATGCTCTAATTCCTGTTGCACAGCGTGGTAGTGGCCCAGAAAGGTATCAAAGCCCTGCTGGACAAAATCCGGGGTGGAGCGCTGAGACTTCAGGGCTGAGCAACCTGCACGCACCTTTTCAATTTTGGGGTGGAGGCTGAGGAGATCTGTCAGTTCCCGCTACGGAAGAGAAAATAGGGTCACAGAAGTCACTGAAGATGAACATCCTCACAGAAAGTGAATCAGAGTGGCATTAACCTAATGTTCATGATACAAATAGCATCTTTTTTAAATACAGGACTGGACATAGGATTCTTTCATGTTCTGGATGGTTATCTCTTTACCTGACAGGAGTCCTTCAAGCTCTGCAAGGACTGTTGGGGAGATTCTGAAAAGGGAGTGTGTTTTACCCACTCCTCTTTTGTCTTTACAGTCTTTTCAAGATCATCAAGCTGCTTAAAGTAAGCATTTATATCTTCCTGTAGCTGAATCTTTCTTGCCAGATCTTCCAAATGCTGAGATACATCCTTCCATTCTGAGAATACCTTCTCCAGAACGTTTTTTATTTCTTCAGTAGGAATACCTTCTACGCGGACATAAAAAATAAGCAGACACTTCATATGCTAGTATAAAAATTGTTTTCAATTTGTTATAAACATTCTGACCTATTCAAAATAATGAGGCGATGTCACATATAATGATCATTCCTTTAAGTCCCTTTTAACATAACAACAAAATTACAATGATACTGTTAGAAATAACTATGTTTCAGGGGTGCCAGGGTGGCTCAGCTGGCTAAGCATCCAACTCTTAATTTCAGTTCAGGTCATGATATCGTGGTTTGGGAGATCAAGCCCCGTGTCGGGCCCTGCGCTCAGATTCTCTCTCCCCGACTCCTCCTGCTTACATTCTCATTCTCTCTCTCTCTCTCAAAATAAATAAACTTAATTTTGTTTCACTCCCTGACCAAAGCAGGAGATGGGAAGCTTGAAATGGCAGTTCGGGAGTGGTATTGCTGTCAGAAGAGGCACATCAGTAGAGTTCCAGCCACTGCCTTTTATACAAACTGTGTGCATCCTACCACTCTGCTAGCTGCTACAGTGAACCAGGGAAATACAATGAATTATGTGGACCTGTCAAGTTCTGACATGAGAAGGTAAACCCTCTGTCATCACAAAAAAGACAACTGGCTAAATAATCGAGGAGGGAGCTCAAGAGTCTGGTTTGACCAAACCATAGTGTCCTAGGAACCACAGAATGAATGGTGAGAAGCCCTACTGCAGGGAGCAACCTGGTGAGTGTAGGAAAATCAGGCCAGCAGCCAGGCCCGAGAGGCTTCAGTGGCCTACTGGGCATGCCCCACACAGACCAGCAAAGATCAAAATATCAAAGCAGTGGTACGATGATCTACTTTAACACATCAGAAAAAACACCATTATGTTTATTACTGACATAATTTTAGCCCGTATTTTTGAGTGGTAAAGAATGTCCATAAAAATAATAGTTCTATGTAATAGTAAGTTTTATCACGGCCCTTCCCTTAACATAAAATGCATCAAATCATTGAAAATTACTAGGAAAAAAAGATGGGAAATCTGCAAAGGAGTCTTCATCTCCTTAGGAGAGCATGCATGTTGAAAGAATGGGCTTAACATCTTTATTATTTGAGTAGGAGGGGGAAAAAAACAATGGTGCTTTGTAAATACACACAATCAAAATCCAGGGTAATGAGAGCCCTAAGGAATAAAATGGCATGTAAAACAAAAGGTCACTTACGAGCTACAGAGGATGCAGTTTTAAAAATCCTACAATACACTGTACCCACAGAAAATCAGAAATGCAAACATGACGGGACATAATTTGAATACATCAACCATGTCGGCTGTTAAAGTTCACTGGCCAGGATCACACAGGTAATAGAATATTAGACACTGGCAAATCATTCACACCACAGTCCAAGTTCATTTGTCTCTATTAACAGGGTTATAAACAAAACAAATCACCATTTTCCTGACAAACTCTCTGAGCAATGGAGAGCCAGGCTCTGCTTCTATGAGGTCATTTCTATTCTAGGGGGGCAAAGTAATAACATCAGCCACTTCATTTTCATGTCAGAGCAGTTTATGCTAAACGAGAAAGGAGATTAAGCTGGTAAAATTTTTGAGATGGAAAATTATCCCTTCTCATCTGAAAACAGGTAGGAGGTAATTATTCACTGACAATATATTACAATTCACTCATTTTGCCCCTTCAAACCATTTCTCAAAATTTAAATCTCCTCTCCTCTAAGCTGGAGATATTGCAGGTTGGACAGATACCAGGTAATAATTAAAGCACAATTCGCACATCAAGCAAAGAAAACTATACATTGCTCTTCAAAAGAATTCTTTTATTTTAAGTTTATTTATTTTGGGAGAGAGAAAAGCACACGCATGAAGGAGGAGGAGGAGCAGAGAGAGAAGGAGAGAGAGAATCCCAAGCAGGCTCTGAGCTGACAGGCTCAACGCAGGGCTTGAGCTCATGAGCCATGAGATAGTGACCTGAACTGAAACCAAGAGTCAGACACTTGACCGACTGAGCCATCTGGTGTCCCAATAATTGTCTTTTTTAAATGTTTGTTTGTTTGTTTGTTTGTTTGTTTGTTTTAAGAGACAGCACACTTGTGTGTGCGTGCACATGAGCAGGAGAGGGGCAAAGACACAGAGAGAGAAACAGAGAGAATCCCAAGCAGGCTCCATGCGAGATCATGACCTGAGCCAATATGAAGAGTTGAATACTTAACCGGTAGAGCCATCCAGGTGCCTCTAAAATAATTGTCTTTTTTTTTTTTTTTAATTTTTTTTTCAACGTTTATTTATTTTTGGGACAGAGAGAGAGAGAGAGCATGAACGGGGGAGGGGCAGAGAGAGAGGGAGACACAGAATTGGAAACAGGCTCCAGGCTCTGAGCCATCAGCCCAGAGCCCGACGCGGGGCTCGAACTCCCGGACCGCGAGATCGTGACCTGGCTGAAGTCGGACGCTTAACCGACTGCGCCACCCAGGCGCCCCTAAAATAATTGTCTTTTAAAATAACTGTTTTGCTCCCAGAGATCCTGATTTATACATTTTCTATTTCTATAGAACATCCAACTCTTAAATGACTATTCAAAAGCCCAAATCAATAGACCATCATTTTACTAGTTACCTAAAAGGAATAAAATATAACATATTCATGGCACTTACTCGTACTTGATTTTACACCTTTCCATCTATCACTATTGGAATCAAGAGAAATTTTACAAAACCTAGGACCACCATCAAATTCCACAGGCTAGTCATAATATATGTCATCATAAAGCCAAATCATCCAGTGCCCAGCTACTCTATTTTATTTGTTGACAATCTCTAGGAAAAAGATAAGCTGAATCAAGAAAAACAATTATAATAGCCATGAAAGTTAAATAAAATATATTATTTCCTTTTTTAAAAACACTTTTATGCTATATAAGGTACCACAAAACATAATTCAAATGCACAAGGCATATAAGTCTCATCAAACTTCACTGTGGTGGGACTTTCGATGGAATTATTTTGAAGGAATCAATGACATGATTATTAGAACATCTGTTTTACCAAAGGCTTTTTTCTTTTTTTTTTTTCTTTTTTTTTCCCCAAAGACTTGTTTTCTAATGGGCTGAATCATTAATCTGCATGCTTACATAGGCAGACTGTGGTCAAATTACACTCTGTGAAAAACTTCCTCTATGTTAATTATCCATACTCTAGGACTTATTTCAAATTTCTTGGGGAAAAGGGAGGGACAGCAAGAAGCACCCAATTGTGCTTTCATTTCTGCTCAACATTTCTGCTTTATAAGAGCAGTAGAATTAATAGCACTAAAACCACACGGAGAGAAGCAATATACGATACTATAAAATTACAATAACAGATAAAATGGTAGATAGTGGGGGAGATTTTGAAAAAATCACTTTAGGGGCGCCTGGGTGGCGCAGTCGGTTAAGCGTCCGACTTCAGCCAGGTCACGATCCCGCGGTCCGTGAGTTCGAGCCCCGCGTCAGGCTCTGGGCTGATGGCTCAGAGCCTGGAGCCTGTTTCCGATTCTGTGTCTTCCTCTCTCTCTGCCCCTCCCCCGTTCATGCTCTCTCTCTCTCTGTCCCAAAAATAAATAAACGTTGAAAAAAAAAATTAAAAAAATAAATAAAAAAAAAAAAAGAAAAAATCACTTTATCTCAGTAACACAATGTACACACTGCTCAAAAAGCAAGAAAGTAAACCCAGAACATAAGTGCCCTATTCAGACCAACACCCCCAGTGCCCAGCTTCCCACCCCATCCTAAATATGTCTTTTGAAATAAATAAAATTAGGATCCTGTAATGAATGCATTTCCAGTCCTATTAAATGCTCCAAAAATAAAATGGTCATGTGAAATATAAAGGGTTTCCCATGAAATTAAACAAGTCCACATTACATCACAAAATTCATTCCTTTACAAAGCCACAGATGATATAGCCCCCGATATTGCACTTGATACTTTGCAAGTAGAACTTTGACATGATCTCCGTTTCCAGAGTATATATCTCAGTACATATCTATTCACAGTAAGAGTGCATGTGACAGAAGCTGAACTATGCTAGTGAGTGCCTCACATTCTGGGCAAGAAAGCAAAGAAATAAAAGGGTTACATGAGTCACCCAAGGACACAAAACTAGGAAAGGGCAGGAGACCCAGAGGTCTCCTATTTCCCAATTTACTGTTATTCTCACTGGAACATAACACCCCTCACCAACTCCTCCCCTAGGCAGTCTTCTCCACCAGCCTTACGAATCCTCACATAGCGCCTAAAAGCTGACGCAGAAATGAGGGCAAAATCAGTACCCAGACTCATGAAAGCACCCCACACTCATACCAGACAAAGTCTGGTTCCCAAACTACAATATCAATGCAGAAGTGAAGAACCTACAATTGTAACAGACATAAATTCAACACACAATTTATTATAATTATTCAATCAGCACCTCAGGGGAAATTATGGTCTCTCTGTATCTGTAGGTTTCTTCAAGTAAATATCTGAAAGAGTAATCTCCACGTGGGGTCCTCTCACCCAGGGTAATTAAGACACTGAGCTAAGTGGATTTTGAATGAAAACACCGTTTTTGAATAAATTTTGCTTTATTTATATTTAAAGAAAAAAATAAATTAAGCTGTACTAATACCTATGGATAGACAGTGTTATATTTGCATAATTTTCCAATAAATGGACATATATTAGACATACAGATAATTTTGTATATATATGTGTGTATGTCTACATGTCCCCAGTGTGTATATATATATAATTAAATGACATTTTTTTAATGCAGAGACAAAAATAATCTAAAGTTTTAAAAAATCTGATTTTCAGGGGGTATGGAAAGCTGACTGATTCATAAGGAACATGAGGGAACTTTCTGGAGAGATGGAAATTTTCCACATATTGTTTTATGGCCATAGGCTTTTCAAAACAACCCAGTGAAGTTTCATGTATTTCAAGGTAGGTAAATTTTACTTTAAAAAAACTATAAACAATAACAATAATAACAAGGAGTGAGGAATGAGTAGGGGTATAGATAATTCAAGAATTGGCAGAATATCATTAATTACTGAAGCTAGGTAACCAGAATAAGGAGGTTCATCACTCTGCATTGTACATATTTACATTTTCCAGAATAAAAAGTTAAAAACTAAAAAGATTGACAACTACTACACTGAAGATTCTTGTCAAACTAGGATTCCTGATTCTGTTTTGGGCGTCTGTGGCTTTTGTCAAAGAGCTCTGATATAATAAATATTCACTGAATGTTGGTCATTATTTAAAAAAAATAAAAAAATAAAATAACTCTGCAGCAGACCTCCAAAGCATTTACTATCACTAGAATAAGGAATAGGATTTACAGGAGAGGTCTCTCAAAGCTAAACCAAAGGAAGAATCATATGCAAAGTGGATATCAAAACTATTCATCTTTACATTCCCCAGAGTCACTGAGGGCTAATGGCAAAGGAAAAAAAAAGTTTCTAAATACAGGTAAAAATTTCCAAGACAAGCAACTCCTTCTCAAATTTAACTATAAAATGTTACCTGCAATAAATTAACAGATTAATTTGAACATGATCAAAAACCAAATGATCTTAATGAACTGACCTTACTGTAACTTCATTTCCCAAAGATTTCCAACATAAAATTTTCTTTTGCCACCCCCTCTCCAAAAAAAGGTCCCAATATATAATGTCAAAGGAGGAGATTTTAAATTTTTCTACATCAGTGGATTTCAACCATTCTGCTAAGATATCAGAGCTTTAGGTTGTCTGACTATACAGAAAAGCAGAACAACTTCACTTTTCTGTTTTGTCATCAGCTTCAGCACAGGACTTCATGTGAAAAAAGATTCTGCTGCTTAAAGCTTAAAAAAAAAATTGAAAACCACTTTTCTAGAAAAAAAAAGTGTTAAATATATAATTTGTCAAACTGTAAATATTATTCAGTGCTACCACCTAAAACACATTTTTAAAAAAATCAAGGGTCTCACCTTTTCCCATTTGCTCCAAAAGGATCTGTCCAGTTTGGTTTAATTCATTCAGTCTGGGGCTTCTTTCTGTCTGTTCTTTTTCTAATGCCTGGAAATAAAATTCCAATATAAGAATACTGCAAACTTTCTTCTCAATATAATGTGCATGCTATTGTAACTTTCATGTTTCGTGTCCCTCCCACATTCTCTTTCAGTGTTATAGTCAAAGTTGAGGTAGGAGAAATACTATAAGACAAAACTATGTAATTCCAGGCTTCCCCACAGAATTCCAAAGCTGATTTAAATTTCAAAAGGCAAATTCAAACAAATAATATAAACCTTTGGTTGATTTTATAAGAAAAAAGTTGCACATTATAATTATGAGTTCCTATCAAAAGAAAATAATTAAAATTAGTGTTTTAGATCCAGGATATCTATTCACATACATATAACCTCAGTTTCTATGCCACACAATAAAAATAACTGAGTCAAATGAACTGAATATTCTATGACAGAGACACTGAACAAAAATTAATCAACAAGAAAAACAGAAATATTTTGAGCCTCACTATTGTCTGATCTTATAATAAGTTTAGACTCTAACATAAATTTCAACCACAGCATAATTCATACATAAATTTTAAACTATAACAATATGCTTTGGAACCCAAACTGAAGCATTTTGTTCCTCATGTTTGAAGAATGGCTCTTAATTTTAATATTTATGTCTCTATAGTTCGATATTCTCAATGCCCCTATATGTCAGAGACAGGGAAGACAAAATCTTTCCAAAACTAGTAAGAAAGATTTGAACAAAATCAGGAAGACACACACACACACACACACACACACACACACACACGCACACACACACCACACAGAGGTATATGGATAAACAGTCAGTATTTGAAATTTCTCCCACTCCTCAATTCGCAACTGAGAAAATTAACTACTCAAATAGCGCCCCTAATAACACAATCAAAACTTCTAGGCAACCCATATTATTTCAACCAGACAAACCAAAGAAGAGTCCTACTTCTAATTTCTACACATATAGGCTCTGTCAAATAAACTATCCTACTTTGCTCTGCACAGCTTTAATGGGACTAAGTAAAACAACCATGTGACAAAGATAAAGAAATAACAAGAGATTCAAAGAAACACCACTTATTTTTATTGAAGTATCAATGCAAAAACTCACCATCATACTGGAGAAGAATTACTACCTGTTCCATACAAATTGATTTTTTGCTACTTTCTACGGTGATGACAGACTGAACTAGGGATTCTCCACCCAGGTATACACCAGTTGGAGCAAGGTATTCCTTTACTCTAACACAATTAAGCTGATCTTGCCCCAATTTGCAAGGAAAATTAGAGATAAAAGTGATGGTTAAGTTTTCTTCATTTCACATTTTTCAAAACCCTTTTGGCATCTATAACTACTTGTCTAAAAAAACAAAAAAATAAACTTATTAAAGGAAAATATAGGAGCCGCCAATCATCCCTTATAGTAACAAACAATTTCTATAGTAACGATTTCTAAAAGTGAAATTGTTCCCAGATCGTAGAATGGAAATTAACTTATTAATATTTTCTGGAACTTGGTTCATAAAGATCACTCTCACTTCCAAATTCTCTGCCATTTCAGTAGCCTTGAGAATTGGGTTGTTCAATGCTCCTTAATATCATCTACCGGTCTTTCAGAACTATAAGAAGCATATGAAATGATGGCACACAGCTCTCCTTTCTGGCCCTCCCAACTCCCTGTGTAGAGGGCTCAGATAATGGTGCTTCTAGGGTAACAACCTTCCACATTCCTCTGTCAAAGTAACATGGAAGTCAAAAGATGAATCACTTAACTCTTCCTAATGAGGCTAAAGGAGGCTTACTGGAGTAGAGGGCTTTTCAGCCACACAGCATAAAGGCTTAATAAGGGCCATTCTGCACAAGGAAAACAGCACGTGGTGAAGGCAGGGAAGTGAGAAAAGAGCAGGATTCAGGAGTGGGGAGCTCAGGGTGTCTGTAGGAGACTGGTAGGAGCTGAGGCTGGACTCATAGGGGAAACAGCACCACCTGGAAGGCCCTTGCATGCTGGGGCGCTAAGGATTTAGATTTTGTCCCCATTGCAACGGGAAGCCATTAGTTAATTGCAAGCATAGGAGCTGCCTGATCAGATGTCTATTTTAGAATGATCACTGGTCACAGAAGCCAAAGGCTGTGAGAATAGAAGAAGGAAGAGTAAATAGCAGCAAACGCTACAGAGGCAGCGGATGTGATGAGAAAACAAATCCATCCTTTGGATTTAGAAACCAACAGTCAATGGTGACCTCTAAATAAGAGCAGTTACAATGCAATGATAAGACAGAAGTCAGTCTTAACTTCTCATCCAAACACAAAATGTCAACCAGGGTCTGACTCCAAACCACCTCTCCAACCTTAACTCTCTAACTGCTTTTACACGCACACCTAGCACTAAACAGAACAAAAAAGAAACTATCACAACACAACTTGTCTACCTCCCCACCTCTGCTCAGGGGCGCCCCCTGCCTGCTGCGCCCTTCACGCCCAGCCCCAAGCAAGCTCCTTGTGGTTCTGGCGTGGTGCTACCTCACCCCTGGACTTCCCCGAGTACACACACAGATGCAATCCTGGCCTCCTCTCAACTCCCATGGTACTACCACCTTCTAGCTTATACCACTGATGTTTATACACGTCTTGTTTTGGAAATGTTCTCCAAACTCTTCACAGACAAACTCCACTGCCAGTGTAGACGGCACTACAGACTTGCTCTAGGTGTCCAACTCCTTCGTGAAAGGCTTTCACACACTTAATGAGCACCAAAGACATAAGTCACTACAATCTCCTGGCACAATTTACAGTCACACAGAAGGAACAAAGTAGCGGAGCTAACATCCCAAACATTTTAACGGTATTTATTTCTTTTTAATGTGTCTCTTCTGTAATGAAAATATATCGGAAGGAATTGTGAGATTTGAAATCATCTGTTGCATTCAGCGAGCAAAATATCTTCAGCATACCCAAAGTCAGAAATTAGGGACTAAAGTAGATCTAATCAAAGTAAAAAATAATACTGATAACTAGACCACCTTAGAAAATGTTTTTTTCTGCACATCTCAGAGGTTAAGAAAAAGGGGGCAAAAAAATTCCTCCTCCGCACAGGGGTCTGAATGCCAGCCAGCTTGATGGATTGAAAATTTACTACAATGTCCTAAAAGCTACCTTATGGCTACATTTATTTTACAGGAAGCCTCTGGATCCCATCACACTTTTATGTCAACAGCAAATCTAACCTGATGTAATATTTTATTCACTAGGATGTTTTTGTTTAATGTTTTACCTTCAACTTCTTTTTCACTTCTGAAGTCTCTTGCATCTTCTTATACCCTTTTATCTCTGTGGCCTGAATGGCAGTCTTTGATTTCAAAATGCAGCTCAACAGCTCAGCACTTACAGCGTCAAACCTGATTTAAGATTCAGATGTTACTATTGGTCATTCCTATCCTTCTATAGTTTCACTTGGCTCAAGACAGAGCAATCAAAAGACCCCTCAGGCATGTGTTTTAAATATTCCTCAAAAAAAAAAAAAAAGGCAACACAGATACCTAGTAACCATACAAAATAAAACCATACACTTATAATTAAAAGTTTGAAAAGAGAAATAATATTGTAAAGTTAATATTTTTTAAATAATTAATGTTTAAGCTTTGTAAAAAATACTTAGATTTTTACAAACTCCTGTAGATGATGAAAACAGATTTGATTAGAAAATAACAGAAAGAAAAAAAAAGATACAGATATTCTTAAAGTTAATGCCTTCTTTCATTTAACGTAATTATTGAGCCCAGTATATGCCAGGCGCTGGACTGGGCTCTTGCTATGAAGGTAAATCAGACGCAATCCCAGCCCTCACAGAGCTTCCAGTCTGGGAGAGGCAATGGAAAGTAGCAGGCAATCACCAGAGAACTTGCCAGATGCTGATTCCAGGAATTCACAGTTATGGCTCCTAATTTAGTCAGGGGACGTGGCGGGGGGAGGGGGGAGTGGATGCCTTCCTGGAGCACAACAGCAATACTGTGCCTAGCAAACGTTTTCATTGCAAAGGGAGAACAAAGAAAGGGAGGACCACACGGTGCAAACAGCAAGTGATTAGGCGTGACTGGAAAAGTGAGTACTAGGCAGGGAAGGACAAGGGCAGACAACCACACCCACCTGCAGGGTAGATTAAGGAGTCTGGGCTCAACCAAAGGGCAAGGGAGAGCCCGTGAAGGGTTGAAAGCACAGGATTGACATGGCTGGATTTACCTTCTAGTGTCCACTGAGGAGAAAGAATAAAGGGTGGCAAGACCAGAGAAAAACAGGCTGCGGTAGCACCCTGAGCCAGAACTGAGATGTGATGGTGGGAAAGAAAAAGAGTGGACAAAGTTGAAGAGGCCTGTGGGAACCACAGCAAGGAAAAATGAGAGGAGAAACAGTCACTGTCAGCCATGTACCTGGCCCTTTTCAAAGTGTTCTGTGTGTCTTATTAAGTGATCCTCACCACAACCCTGAGACACCTATACTATTATTATCCCTTTTAATGATGAAGAAATTGAGCCCGGGGAGGTTTTAAACAACTGCCCCAGGGCCACAAAGCTACAGCTGGTAGAGCTCTGGTTCAAACCAGATAGTCTGTCCTCCTCACCAGCACTCTACCCACAGAGCTTCTCAAAAGAACCTCTGGGTATTTTTAGGTACTTTAGGGTAAGCACGGGTTGTCTGTTTCTTCTTGGGAAACAGCTTAAAGTGTTTCTGGCGAGTTGTGAATATTTGGTTTTTCATCAAGATCAATTTTCCCTGTAACTTGTAAAGGGATTTTGTGACACTGTAGATAAATAACCAATGGTTGAGGTGTCCCTCAAACAGTAGTACTTTCATTCTGTCATCTTAACAGCAGGCTTCTATTTAATCTTTCAGAGAAGAGGAACATCATCCCCAAATCACACATATAAAAGGACCTTGGGGACTTAGACCATTTCTGCCCTTAATATAAACAAGGGTGATGTGAACGCCACAAGGTAGCAATGGTTTCAGGCCATGTCAACAGAGATCTAGATTATAGGAAATGACCACCCCTCCAGACCTTGAGCAGGCTAAACCAGCCAGCCACCAGCAGCACCAAGAAAAAAGAAGAGGAAATAAACTGCCATTTCTGAAGCATCTATTATAAACGATACTAAGCTCCTATCTGCTCAGAGAGCCCATTTTAAGACAAGCGAACAGTGGTTTCTACAGCAGACTGAAGGTGTTAAAGGGTCTGGAAGCCCTGTCACACTAGGAATGGATTGAAGACCCTCTACACCGAAGGCCAGCAGAAATGAGAATATGAAGCTCCCTGCAATACTAAGGAGGTTCCATACTGAAGGCTGGTGTCGCTCTATGGCACCCCAGGCAGCAGAACTAGCAAATACAGGGAGACATGGAGGGGGCGGACTTGGGCTGGGCATAAAAATAACCTTTCTAACAATGAGATCTCACTGCCTCCTATCATAATGAACCGGATGTACACAAGCTTCTCTGTGTCCAGGAGTTAACTGAAGGGATTTCCGCACCAATCAAACCACGGACTGGAAGCCTATGGTCCTCACAGCTGGCTGCTCAACTAACAGACATTCCTCTCCCCACACTTTTCTCTGCTGTCCAAGTCCCCCAGAATGCAATGACAGGAGACCAAAATGGCCAGACGGCCTCAACCTCCCATGCACCCATGGCAGGGAAGTGACTGAATCCTGGCCACTGAGACCGCGGGGGACGTTAGCTGATGTCTTCCAGGCAAGGTCTTTCTCCCCGATTTAAAAAAAGAAAAAAAGATAAATAAGGAAAAACTGGCCTTCCTGCATATAAATTGGGTTATACAAGGATGTTATGCCCAGTGCTACAGCAGGATCTTGGGACCAGAGAGGACAAGCCTGATGGTGAAAGCCCTGCTTCTGGACTTCTTGTGAGATAATCAATGACCTCATTGTTTGGGTCACTTTTGGTACAGTATTCTGTTTCCCGCAGCAGAATGCACTCCACACAACACGACCATGTTTAAGATTTTATAGTAATGCACCCTTAGTCTTTTATAACCTTTCTTCCTTCCAAATGCACAAAGCCAGCACTGGAAAGGCACAGTGCCAGATCTACCTGGCAGAAACTAGACACTCAGGAAACAAAAGATCTATGGCACTATTAACATCAGAAGCATCTTCCTCCTATGCTGCCTCGGCTCCAGAAGCAAAGGTTTCACAGCTGCTGCCTGCACCTTGGAGGTACTCTGGCTCCACAGGGAGATGCTGGTAAGAGGCAGAGAAACACAGCCTTATTACCAAAATGAAAATCATCCGGTAAAACTGCAATCCCACTTCATCTACAGAAGCTATACTGGGGAAACCATATCATTTTTATTCTGGCCCAAAATAATTACCCATTTACCCAAGCACTTGGATCCTCCTATAAAAGGGAGAGAATAAAAGGGCTGATTTAAGGATCAGCTGCTCTAGGGTATCTGAGGTACATTACCCGGCTGTCACACAGCGCAGCTTAACAGAGTATCTGACATTAGTACATGCTTGCTACATATTAGCTGCGATTAGTCCTTTTCTAAAATTCCTGAGTTTCCTTTGAATCAGTAAGACAAACAAACAAAAAAAATTATGTCAAAGATGGATCCTTAAGGCAAACATAAAGAATTTGTTAATGAATCTGACAAAGGAATTAACAAAAAAAGAAAGAAAATGTGAAAAAAGAATGAGGGGGGAAAGGAAGAAAAAGGGGACGACAAAGGAATGACTTCCCTGAATGAAGTATTGCTGAATGTGAAGAGGAAAGAGTGGCATAAAGAATAAGGAGAGCTATCTAAAGCAAACCTGCCAGAGTTCTCAGAGTGTGGTGAAAGAAAGAATAAATGAAGAATCATGGACAGTCAGATCCTCCCTAGGTAGATGATGGAAAGGAAGAAAGAAGGGTTCTGTCACACGGTTTTCCAGACTACACACAGGATAAATAAAATCACCAGAGACCATTTAGACGCTTAGCCAGTGGGAAGGAGAACATTGGAAGGCTGGGGGGCAGTGAGTGGTTTAGCAGTTGAATTTCCATCACAATAATTACATCTAAATTTGCATATGATTAGTAATTAGTACAAATACATTATGTGCGGTACTGTGTTTAGAAAATGTCTCTATCTGTTCTCACTTTTTCTTAGCTTCCAAATCCACAGGAATCTGTCTCTTCTTTGGGGGAGGAGGAGGAGGCAGTTCTTGCTTAGACCTTTTTGTAGTTACTTGTTCTCTTACGCGAACAGTCTCCAAAAGATCCTTCTGAGGAATCTGGGACATCCCCAGCTTTGCTACAGCCTGAGTCACCTGAAGTATAAATCAGCCAAATGTTTTAACGTTTTGTCACAGCTTTATTGAGATATAATTCACATTCCATAACATTCTCCTTTGAAAATACACAGTTTGAGTGGTTATCAGTATATTCAGTGTTATGCAGCCATCCCCACTCTGTACTTGCAAAAGAGGTTTATTGGCCCCAAAAGAAACCCCGTACCTATTAATAAATAGTCCATCACTCCCCATCCTCCTCTCCCCGAGGCCCTAGCGACTACTAATCTACTTATTATTTCTCTGGATTTGCCTATTTTTGATAGTTCATATAGATAGAATTACAGTGCATTTAATCTTGTGACTGGCTTCTCGTAGTTAGCACAATGTTTTCAAGATTCATTCATACTGTCAGTATTTCATGCAATGGACAGACCACATTTGTTTATCCATCTACCTACTGATGGAACATTTGGGCTGTTTCACTTTTGTACTGTTATAAATAATACCACTATGAACATCCAAGTACAAACCACAGTTGCATTTTCAATCAATTCACTAATATATTTTTTTAAATTAATAAGATTATTTAAAATTTAAAGATGATTTAATGGATTCGTGTCTAAGTGTTATCAGTTATTAAGAGAAATTACGGTATTAGTAAGTTTTTCAACGATCTATTAAAATTGACTTCAGAAAAGGAAAGATTTTTTACATGTCAATTTCTCAATTTTTCAGGAAGCCAGGTATAAGGAACCTACTTTTAGTTTGCAGCTTACCTATTATTACTTTATTTCATAAAAACTAAAACTAACCTGAACATTTAACTTCTATTTCATCATACAACATATAATCCAAAGCAAAAGGTACCTGGTTGGAGGAATCTTCTAGTCTCTGAACCAAAGAATCCCATCTCTGAGTTAGTTCCTCTGAGTCACTGTTGATCTTCTTAGATGCCTTGGGATTATCAAGTAATTGACTCACATCCTGACCAATCTCACTCAGCTGATCCAAGGCCTGACGTTTCATTTCCATGTCTTCTTTCAAAATCTAATATTTCAAATATTTTATTAGATGACTCCCTCTTAAAAGGACTCTATAGTCCTGCTCCACAAGCAGGAAATGTAAACATATATTTTATAGCAAAATGTACTTGCTACACAGTTCACTAATGCTAAAACATAAGATTCCTGGTTCTAGATGATTATATGGCAGCATTCTAGTGTTGGTTAATGACTCATAATCTGTACTCACTAAATTGTATGAACAATTGATAGAAACAATAAAATATCACAGGCTTACAAGACAGATGCTGACATTGACACCACTTACAGCCAGTCGTCGAATGCTGACACTTAGTTCCTTTTGGTCTTTGAAGTTGCTCGTCTGGACTTTATTTAAAGCCTCTTCTTTTTCAGTTAGCCAAGCTTTCAACAAGCACTACATGTAATAACAAAAGTTAGAAATATATTTGGAGAATCATTTGGTCATTCAATTCAATCAAGTTCCCAAATCTCTAACGTTTATGCTGGTAGGGGCTTCACTCTTACTTAGGGTAGGAAGGACTTCAAACACCCAAGCTCAAGGTATGAATGGCCTAATATCTTTCTTTAAGATATTATCCTTCTCAGATTTGCAACAGATCAAGCTGACATTAGCCCCACACATGGGTAATTAAACTAATTCTCAGGGACATATGTGGAACTAAAAGGCTAAATCCAACTATGCAAATCTCCAAAAGAATCACAGTATAACTCTCCAGAAGCAGGAAGACTCCTGGAATTGTCCTTTCCCAGCCCTTCATTTTAGGAAGGAAAGAGAGATAAGTCATTATGTGTCCAAGATCACTTGGCTAGTTAACAAGGGAATCAAATCAAAGACCCACACCCTAAAACTAATGGTTTTTCCATAGCATCATTCAAGAAAACCATACTAATGTTCCAGGTTCAACAGCAATTGTGATTAAAAGAGAAAGTTTAGCCATAGTCCAAAGCCAACATATAGATATTTAAATCTCATTGGCCAACATGCAGAAGATATTTAGTAATATACATAGATAAACTTGAAAGAGGGGCAGAAAACCACATGGTTGCATTAAGATAATTCTTCGCAAAGTGTAATATCTATTGCAGAAGCTCTTTTCTATATAGTTGAGATGGAAAAGTCTTGGTTCTGTGTCAGCAGTGGGATCAATTCATTCTCTAACTGCTTTATTTATCAGTTTATGTAACAACTATTCCCTGCCTCTATATTCCACCAAAAAAAAAAAAGATGAAGA